TTCTCACTTTCAATGGCCAGTTTTAAAATTGACAACCCAACGTTTAACTGTTGCACATGAAGGGCCACTGTCACTCATATTTTGTGACATTTCATCATGGATCTGCTTTGCACCTTTCCCTTGGAGAAACAGGAACTTGATTATGGTCCTATGCTCTTCCACATTAAACTTTTTTGGAGCTGTTACCATGTTCACCATGTGCACATGAAAGATAAGTTAAAATCATAGGTAGTTGTTTTCTGTACCATTGAATACAGACAAATTGGCCAATACACTCTGCAATTTATAGCTTTCTAGCTCAATTTTTTCTAGGAAAGGTTCAATACTTATCAACACCCTCTCGTAGATTGTCTCAATTACAGTACATTTATGAAGTTTTTGCCAAAATCCATAGCTTTTATTTCCTATATCATAAATTGACAGTTCATATTATCAAATGCTTTTTGGGCATCCAGAAAGATTAATGTCATTTGTTTCTCTGTATGCACCTCACAATATTCTAATATGTCTAAGATTACCCTTAGATTGTACCTTTGGCAAAATCCATTTTGGTCTGAATGAATGAAATCCATTAAAACTTTTTTCAGTCTTTGCGCTATAATTAATGCAAAGATTTTATAGTCCACATTCAGTAATGATATTGGTATAAAAATTTTATGTGTGTAGAGTCTGTGTCTATTTAGGTATTTTAGCTTCTAATAGAACTTTGTGGCAGAGCTCTTTAATTGGTAGGCTTAATATATCTTGGAAGGATTTATAAAATTCTGCTGGTTATCTGTTTGGTCCTGGGATCTTATCATCATTATTATTTTTTAATGGCTTCTATTACTTCCATCATTGTTATATTCTCATTTAGAAGACTTTTGATGCTTTCTGGTACTTTAGGGAGGTTTGATGTTTCGATATATTGTATTGTTTTTTCAAGGGAAAATTCTTGGGTATCATACAGATTAGCGTAGTATTATTTAGTTATTTTTATTTTCTTTTTGATATTGTAAGTCCCCCTTTTCATCTTGTAGCTTCGTTATTAATCTTTTTCTTTTTTCAGTCTATAAGATAGCCATCTTCCAAGTTTGTTGGCATTCTCAAAGAAGTTTTGTTTAGCCCTTTTAACTTCTTGAGCTAATTCTTCTGATTCTATTAAGTTTAATTTATGTTTTTATTATTTCCCTCTGGTTTTTAAGAATTTTCTTCTGCGGTTCTTTTTGTAGTTCTAGCTCCAGTTCCTTAAATTCCTCCTTCAGTTTTGTAAGTTGCTGTTGTTTTTTCTTTATATCTTTTGGCTATATATATTAGAGTTTTTGAATGCCATCACTGGAATCTTTAGCTCAGTCCAGAAGTGTATTAGGGGCAAGGCAATATCTTTGAGTACCCAGTATGTTGTAGTGGATAGAATAATGGACTAGGATGCAGAAGACCTGGATTCAAATCCCCACTTTGCCATGGAAACATACTGGGGAAGGAGGGGTGGAACTTGTAAAGCTACTCCTTAATACTTCACTTACCTTGTATGGCGACCACCCATGTCACTCATGCAATTCATATTCATGAGCTGATCTGCATTAACCCTTGAGAGGGCTGGAGAGGTGGAGTCAGCAGCTATATGAGGCTTGGCAGGAGAAGGAGTCAGATAAGGCTGATTAGTCAAAGAGATAGGGAGCAGACAGGGAAGCAAGAGTGAGTCAGAGATAGGGTTGCCAGATGTCAGGCAAAAGGAGGACATGTCCTCCTTTTTAGCCTAATGTCCTCTGTCCAGCAGGCAAAGATAAAAACCTTTAAAATGTCAGGCTTTTGTATATTTTGTGTTATAATTTTGGATGGGAGGGGGAGAGGTGGAAGCATTGCCCTTCCCCCTGTCTTTCCCTGCCCCCCATTACCTGGTGGTGGAGTACAGCCCTCTCCCCCTCCCACCACGGCGGTGGCTGCTCAGTGATCTGCCATGCCTGCCCAGCCCATGTGGAGCTCAGAAAGGCAGTGTGAGCAGAGCACCACCAGCCGAGCCAGGTAGGAGCAAGCAGCGCCCGAGTGCATCGATGGGAAGGCGAGTGCCCGGACTGTGTGTGTTCAAAGTTGCTTTTGGGGACTCCAACTCCCACATTCCCTAGCCTTGAACTTATGACCCTTGAGGGAGGGGAGGCTGCCTCATTTAGCTTTGCCCAGCGCCGCTTTCCCCCTGCCTGAGCCAGAGCCTTGTTTGGGCATCCAGATTAGCAAGGTTATCTCTGAGCCTGAGCAGTGTGAATAGCTGGGGGATCCTGCAGCTGGGCCACGGTGAGTTCGGGTACAATTAATAATGTTTAAATAATGTTTTCTTGGTATTTTGAAAAAAAGCCTCCATTGAATTTATTTTAATTTTTTAACATTACTGTTTATTAGTCGGTTCACTAAGAGATATTTATTGGCAGCTATTGTAATAAAATTGTATTGATTGCAGGTTTAATCCTGAACGATTCAAATGAAAATTTCAATACGTCCTCCTCTGTCCTTTTTTTGTCTATGTCCTTCTTTTCGTACCCATGTATCTGGCAACCCTAGTCAGAAATGAGAGTCTGAAGTAGAAGTTAGTCTGTGGTAGTTAGAGAGGGTAGCAGAGTTAGGAGTTAAGAGAGGTTGGAACTTATAGAGAGCTAAAAGAGTTAAGAGTGAAACAAGTTACTGTATTAATAATCAAATGAATACATTAAAGTCTGTGAAGAACCTGTTTAAGCGAACTGTAATCAATAAACCTGTGTTGTTCAGCTTTATACTCAGCTTGGACCTCACTCTTTCTAATTAAAGGGTGTTGACAGAGTCAGCTGCTGGCAGTGAGGTAAAAGACGTGCTGGGACACTCGCATGAGCTCTGTGTTTGGTGAAACAAGCAAGGGCCACGTGGGTAAATGTCACACCTTTAAATCCCTATTAGGGTCTTTATATGTTGATTTCGACTTGCTGGCACATAAGGTTACAATTCATTTGAAACTGGTGCTAACTGTTCCCAAAAGAATCTAGCCACTACATTATTAAGTAATTTCTTATTGGATACATAGGCTAGAATTTTGTTACCTTTATCAAAGAATGTGCCTCAATTCCAACAAATTCATATTATGATTCCTCTCATTTATTAATTTATAAAGGCCTGAAATCATACTAGTGTTCACATGAAGTGAATTAGCATTGGTTTACCTGGTAACACAAGTCTCTGAGTTACTGCTCTCTAGTGGTTACTAAAGGGATAAAATGGCAAACATATGTAATACTGTTAAAAGGTATAGTAGGATTTTTTTAACCTAATAATCAACCCATATACTGTATCATCCATGTGCAGGCAAATCACAACACACAAGAAAGGAGACAAAAGAGCCAAATATGACAATCAAGGAGGTTTGCTTCTAGTCGATCCCATCAGAATGTTTCTGTTATAACCGGTACCGAAATCTATCCTTCATGTCAACCACATCACATTGAGCATCCTCATCTCTGCTTTTGGTAGCTATGCAGGGTCAGGCCGTTAATACTTGGATGAAAGACCACAAGGAAATCTCCATGTAATCATCATCATCATCATCATCATCATCATCATCATCATCATCATCATCATCATCATCATCATCATCAGTTTAGAACTACAGAGCTGGAAGGTTCATGTTCCTAAATACGGATGTGCAAAAGATCTGAAGGAGACTCTCACCTCCACCTTGGATGTCCTTGCCTTACAGGAACTCCCTCTTCCCTTTGTCACATCCATTGGGAAGAGCCAGAAAAGCCATACTATCTATGATAACATGAGGGAATCATTGGGTTGGGATGAATCACTATGCTGACTCTATTCACTGAAAGGATCTGATACAGGTTATCTTCTCCAGTGGGAGATTAAGAGAGACATAGAAAACTTTGTGAGTTCCTTTGGGCAGGGGAGGTTGATATCGTAGGAGAGTGAGGGCTTGGATGAAAGGAATTCTCTGTTTCCAGACAATGCATCAGGGAAATTCTGCCACATCTGCGTCATATCTGTATCTACAGGTACAGTTAAATAATTTTTAATGTTGGTTTTTATGTGGGTTTAACACACCATTTAGTTCAGATATCAGTTATTTGCAGTGTGGCATGTGCATTTTATGGATAAACAACAGCAACACACTCAGGCAAGGCAACATTACTTCTTCATTTTGCTCAGGCTCTGAATTATCTAACCAACATTAAGCATTTTATAAACTCACTTATTTTATTTTAAAAAAAACTATGCAAAGAGCACACACATCTAGAGATTATTGACATGCACTTGAAGAAAATGTAATCAGTGCTGATCATATGGCACTAGAAGATAAATGAATGATGTAATAAATTGCCCTTCCCCATTGTAAGCCCTTAAAATCTGATCTGGAGGGTTGGAGGACTATAACAGGGCGGGGCACAGAAAACCATGTCAGCAAAGAATTTTCATCATGTCATATTATTCATAACCTATTCTTAACAACACACTGGCAATACATTTGAGCAAAGTTTTACATTTATCATGAATTTTGCTCTAAGCACAGTCTAATAACAACTTACTTTTTCATTTATTTTGAAGGCATACAGTCATGTGAAAAAGAAAGTTCACCTCTCTGAATTCCATGGTTGTACATATCAGGACATAACAAATATCATCTGGTCCTTAGCAGGTCTGAAAATTATTATTTATTATTATTTTATTTATTTAATTTATATGCCGCCCACTCTACCCAAAGGTCTCTGGGCGGTTTACAACAATTAAAATTCAATACAATAAAATATAAAATGATTAAAATACGATTAAAATACAATTAAAATTGCCATCATCAAGACCCACGGTTGATGTTATTTCAATTAAAAGCCTTCTGGAACAGGAAGGTTTTGACCTGGTGCCGAAATATCATCAGTGTCGGCGCCAGATGAATTTCAGTCGGGAGGGTGTTCCATAGTTAAATACAACCTCAGATGAACAACAATACAGTACATACTACACTATGTCATGATTTATTTTCCAAAAATAAAGCCAAAATGGAGAAGTCATGTTTAAAAAACTAAGTATGCCCCTATTGCTCCCACAGGAATTAAGAGGTGAAGTAGCAGCCAGGTGCTGCTAAACAAATGCCCTTGAGTAACTGATCATCAGAAAGTGTGAACACCTCTATAAAAGTCAATGTTTTAGCTGTTTGTTGGTATGTGTTAACACAATGCCGAGGAGGAAACACATCAGCAATGATCATAGAGAAGCCATTGTTGCTGCTCATCAATCTGGGAAGGGTTATAAGGCCGTTTCCAAACAATTAGAAGACCATCATTCTACAGTGAGGAAGATTATTCACAAGTTGAAAACATTCAACACAGTTGTTAGCCTTCCCAGAAGTGGATGTCCAAGCAAATTCACCCCAGAATCAGACGTGTAATGCTCAGAGAAACTGCAAAAAACCCGGGTTACATCTCAGACTCTACAGGCCTCCGTAGCATGTTAAATGTTAACGTTCATGATGGTACAATTAGAAAAATATTGTACAAGTACGGTTTGTATGGAAGGGTTGCCAGGAGAAAGCCTCTTCTCTCTAAGAACGTGGCAGCACATCTTAGATTTGCAAAGTTGCATCTCAGCAAACTGCAAGACTTCTGAAACAATGTCCTTTGGACAAACGAGATCAAAGTGGAGATGTTGGGCCATAATACACAGTGCCACATTTGCCAAAAACCAAATACAGAATATCAGCACAAACACCTTATAACAACTGTCTAGCAGTGTTGGAGGGGAGATAATTTGGGCTTGTTTTGCAGCCCCAGCACCTGGGCATGTTGAAATCATTGAATCAGCTACAAACTGCTCTGCAACTTTAAGCCCTTTAAATATTTTGAGCTTCAATGTCCAGAAGCCCTAAGCAGAATGACCAATGATGAAAGAATTGTGGGAGATGTAATCAACATCACAAAGATCCCTGCCTTGTATCTATGTCATATCCTACTCAGTCATTTCCACAATATTTCTGGATTTGAAAAATTTAACTCAGTATTATTTGCTGGATTCCATGCCCCTTCCCTGCCAAGCCTTACTTGTTAGTGAAAGCATTCATGTCAGCTCTTCAGCCAGTGTAACTTGTGTTTTAAGAAAAACAAGGAAGGCCAGTTCCCTGCTTTTCAGACCTACAATCTGAAAAGACATGACACAAAAGGAAAACAAAAACTACGACACAAGTTCTTTAATGTTGAAAAGTTCATGTAATCCCCAGATTGAATGTAACTGAAATGGTACATATAGTGCACACACATGTTGTTAGTGTTCCTATGGTGAAGCTCTAGAATAGAAGGAGGTCCAAGAGAGAAGCCAAAGCGACTGATTTATCAGCTGAGCCACTACAGTATCCTTCTTGCCTGGAAGAAGGGCTACTGTGTGAGAGCTGAGAAGCCCAACGAAACCAGTTTCTCACAAGGGTTGATGGGTAGCCAGCTTTTCCTACCTCCCCACACCCTTGGTGGATTCGTTGATGGAAGACTGTCAGGGGGAAAAGCAAGGCCAAATAACCTTCGGATGGACTATAATATAACATCTAAGTCTATAGTTCTTATTCTGCTTAATTGGGAATAAATCGCATTGAACTCTGTGGAAATATTTTAAGCGTACACACATAGAATCAGCTAGCAATCAGCTATCATACGTTCTTAAGATTTAGAAATTTCAATTAATAAACATGCCACAATAGGTGCTTTATGTGGAAGTATTTTTCTGGCATACCTATGGAAGAACAAACAAATTCAATCATCTCCTAGCATCACTCAGTTCCTTCAGCTTTGTCATGCCACAAACATGCTTGACATTTATGCTTGACACTCACAGTTTATGACTGTTGCTTGCAGAGCTATTCTTTGGGGTGGATGTGATGCAACATTGCTCAGTTGCATTCCTTGTTTCTTTTTCTTTAAGTACAGAAGCCCATGTCCTATAGAGGTAGGCATGTGAAGACTTACAATGCACCCTCAACATTCCCTGCTGGTCTGAAGGTTTAGGTGATGCAGAAGCACTGAAATCAGGGCCGTTTTGAAGACAGCCACCAGTCCTTGTTGGCACTATTGGGCTTATGTCAGCTGAGGTGAATAGGACCTCTTCACCTGACCGACCACTTTGCATGGAACTGCCCTTGTGAGTTTTTGCCGGTTCTGTAAGAACGTTTCTTGTATTTACTGCTCCCGTTTTGCCCTCTGTGTCTGGAGATGCCTCCCCCTCTCCCCCCACTGTGAAGTATACAGTGGAACAACTGTAGATCGGCTCTTTCTGATCTCCTTCCATTTCAAGGTTGGATTCTGCATGAGTAGCTTCCACAGGAGCATGTTTGCTGGTTGGTAAAGTGATATTAAACTGTTCCTTATTCTCACTCAAGTTATCTGTGACTTTGTTCTCTTCTGTAAGGGATCTTTGTTCCCCTGTTCTGGATTTTGGACTGATAGGGAATTTCTCCTTGGTCAAAAATATCAGTTTTCTCCTGGGGCCAGATTGAACAATGGACTTATTGTTTTTTATCACTGGTACAAGATAACAGTCTCTATTATCACTTTCCCCCAAAACAGTCTTTATTTTAGAGATACTTCCTGTTTTCAATGCCAGCTTTATCAGGAGCCAGTGATGTTCATTTTCACACAGGTTCTTGCCATCAGCAGAACAGCCAAAGTCTACCAAGGATGAGTTACTCGGCATTGCCAGAGGTTGTATGGCAGGTTCTGCACCTGAAGCTTCAATGTCTTGCAGCCCTGGAATTCCACTACTCCCCACGGTTAGGTTTTCGTTGCCTTTTTTGCCCTTAGATAATAGACTATGTGATCTTTGCAGGAAACGTTGCCAAATTTCCGTGGATTTGGGATGCAACAAGCTGTAATAAGAGACCAAAGCCACTAAGCCTGAAATGGAGAAGATACAAGGTTATATCAATATACCTTATTTTGGAACAACACAGAGATACAAAAGTTACAGATAGACTTGGTGGACATGATGCTACAAGTCAGATTGGTGTTCAAGAACTGTCATGATGAATTTTGACAGGTGTAACTGAAAGCCAGTTCATGCAGCTCTTCTTCCATTTGTTTTTAATATGAACTCACACTTTGTTTATGGTAAGTTGGTTGTAAGTAGTTTGGAGGTTGAATTAACACAGGGAATATTCAACTTAATTCAGTATAAGTACTCAAGAGTCATGTGAATCCATTTTTTTGCCAATGAAGTTACTGTTCCCTACATCTATGGAGAAGGTAAAGTTTAAAATCAGAGGGCGGGGGGAATGAGCATTCATTGAATTTCTGGTTCTTTGATATTTATCAAAGTTTGTTATTGATGAAATACCTACTCACCACTTGCAACCTGAGCAGGTGGAATATCAGAATGATACACATTCTCAAACATCAGTCTAGCCTCACAAAATTAAAACAGACAGACAAACAGACAGACACACCACCACCACCACCACCACTGAAGAGATGAAATTTCATCAGTGCTTACACCAGTGCTATTAAATTCCAATCTCTGGAATATGCAAAACATATTATGGTTACTTGTCAAAAATGTTCTTTGCTAGAGTGGAGAAACCGTATGTTTATTTCATGAGTTCTTGATCCACCTGTAAGTAAAAGCAATTTGGGACCTCCATGTCCCTGACTGAAATAAAACAACATGAGAAAAGAGAGATTCCTGCTGATGTATTCATAAACAAAGCCCTGCACATTTCTCTCATACAATTTGATGCAAAAATTGCATTTTGTTTCATCTTTAATCAACAAGTAGTAAAGAGCAAGTAGAAATAAAGGCTTGTAGACAACTGTTAACTTGATTGGGCTGAATGAAGTGCATCCAAGAGTGCTAAAGGAACTGGCCAAAGAAATCTCAGAACTGCTGTCCATTATTTTCTTGAAATCATGGGAAATGGGTGAGGTGCCAGAGGATAGGAGGAGGGCTAATTTTGTCCCTATCTTCAAAAAGGGCAAAAAAGAGGAACCTGGGAACTACAGGCCAGTCAGCCTGACATCAATCCCAGGGAAAATTTTTGGAACAAATTATAAAACGGTTGCTATGCAAGCACCTATAAACAATGCAGTAATAACTAGAAGCCAACATGGATTTGTCAAGAACAAATCTTGCCAAACTAATTTGACCTCATTTTTGATTGGGTAACCTCCCTGACAGACAGAGGGACTGCTGTTGACATAGTATATCTTGACTTTAGCAAGGCTTTTGACAAAGTGCCCCATGATATCATGATGAGCAAGCTAATTAGGTGTGGGCTGGATAGATCAAGTGTCAGGTGGATATACGATTGGCTAGAAAATCGTACTCAGAGGGTGATGATTAATGGCTCCTTCTCCAACTGGGAAGAGGTAACTAGTGTGGTACCCCAAGACTCAGTCCTGGGCCCAGTGCTGTTCAATATTTTTATTAATGACTTGGATGATGGAGGGCAGGGAATGCTTTTCAAAATTTCAGATTATACCAAATTGGCCAGAATAGCTAATATCCTAGAAGACAGAAACAAAATTCAAAACAACCTTGATAGGATGGAGCACTGGGCTGAAAACAACAGAATGAAATTCAACAGGGATAAATTCAAAGTACTGCACCTTAGGAAAAAGAAACCAAACACACAGTTACAAGATGAGGGATACCTGGCTCAGCAATACTACAAGTGAGAAAGATCTTGGAATTGTCCTAGATCACAAACTGAATATGAGCGAACAGTGTGATATGGCTACAAAAAAGGCAAATGTGATTTTAGGCTGCATTAATAGAAGGACAAGTTTCCAAATCCCTCAAGGTGTTAGTCCCCTATTCAGCACTGGTTAGGCCTCCATACTTCAAGAAGGATGCTGACAAATTGAAATAAGTTCAGAGGAGGGCAACAAGGATGATCAGGGAGATGGAAACAAAGCCCTATGAGGAAAGACTGAAAGAATTGGTCATATTTAGCCTTGAGAAAAGAATACTGAGGGGTGATGTGATAACACTTTTCAAATACTTGAAAGGCTGTCATACAGAGGAGTGGCAGGATCTGTTCTTGATCATCCCAAAGTGCATGACACACAACAATGGGCTCATGTTATAGGAAGCCAAATTTCAATGGAATATCAGGAATATCAGTACAGTAATGGAACCAATTACCTCGAAAAGTAGTGAGTGTTTCAACACTGGAGGCATTCAAAGTGCATGACACACAACAATGGGCTCATGTTATAGGAAGCCAAATTTCAATGGAATATCAATGGAACCAATTACCTCGAAAAGCAGTGAGTGTTTCAACACTGGATGCATTCAATAGAAACTTAGACAACCACCTGGCAAACATCCTTTGATTTGTATTCCTTCATCAAGTAAGGGGTTGGACTTGAAGGCCTTATAGGCCCCTTCCAACTTCACTATGCTATGATTTTCCTCTATTTTCCTTTCTCTAAATTGTAATAAACCATAAAATAGATCAAAATATCCCTGCCCTTTGGAGTTTCCTTTGAGCATTAGTTTAGCCTGTGTCACATGAAATAATTTCATTTCTCAGATGAAATAATTGTAACATTTTTTAAAACAAGTCTTCTATGTATTTAGTAGTTGGGCTACTATTTGTATGCTAAAAAATGTTTTAGAAGTTACTTACAGAACTGCTTGGAAGGAAACTGCTTTGAAAACTAATTACTCAACCAAGCTCACTGTCTAAAGAAAAATGAAATATCACTGATCAGTATACCTGAAGGGAAACAACAGTACCTGAGCAGATTATAGTTGGTATGTTAAGGGAGGGAAAGGAGTGATTGTGAGGAGGAAGACAACCCAGTGCAAACTTCTGAGTGTGCTGTCCTCTGCATTAGACGAAGCCATATCAACCCAAATAAAGACATTAGAAGCGACCCTGAAAGAAATAAGTCTGGGAAATGAACCAAAAAACCTGGGAAAAGAACAGACAATGGGGGGGAGAGTGATTTGGGTGAGAGAGTTAGAGGATATAAAGGAGGAGAATATGAAGGAGGGAAGAGAGTGGAAGAGGGAGTGCGGTTTTGGGCCCTAGAGGAAGAGGAAAGAAACAAGAAGTGGTGGGTCAAGATTGTGCAAGAAGACCCTTGGACAGAGTTCAAGGTACTTCGAGAGTTTGCTGGAGTCGCAGCGTTAGATGTAAGGGAAGCCCCTCTCCCAGTGGGGAGGGGGAACTGAGGAAAGAGAAAGAACGAGGAGAGAAAGAGCTTGGAGAGAGTGAGGCACAAAATAAAGAAAATAAGACACATTTTGTATTCCCTGGTCAATCTTATGGGACAAGTTCCTTCCATCCCAGGTTATGTCTACCACTGGGCAAAAAGGTGGGGGAACCCCAAATTGGACCAGTCTTTCATGCACCCCAATGATGCACCTGAGTAAAGAGCCCAAGAAGTCAGGCAATCTAAATGGAGATATAAAGAATTCAGCTCCACCCCTATACCTGTTGAGAGGGATTTGTTAATGTTTGATGAAAGAATTGTAGGGAACTGTCTCTGAAACAAGAGGCAACATCTACTGTTGATGTGATTTCTACTGACTTGCTAAAGAATAACAATGCCTTGGTCTTGAAATCCAACGTTGTGGCCTCATCTATGGTGGGGAAGGTAGAAGGAGAGGGGGAAGTTGCATCTGATCACAGTGATGGGTAACATTATTCCAAAAATGTTAACATATGCAACACTGGGAAATGGAAGAAAGAAATCACTGTAATCACCTACCAAGAATGGATCCAGATATAACAGCTCCTAGAATCCAGAGGTTACTCCGTGAGTTAACATGCAGGAAGTCCATTGACATTAACAACAGAAAAACATTTTCTGAGAGTGTTATCTGCAGAAGAACAGAGACATATCACCAAAGAAGTTCACAGTAACTTTGATGCAGTTGGTTTCTCCAAGTCCTCAATTTCTTGAGGTCCACAAAAATTAGTCCTATGCTCAGCAAGGAGCTTTGTCTATTGGAACATATGTAATATTGGAACATATGTATGGAATGGAATAACTCTTGGCAATGACTGGTAATCCCTTCTCCTTCATATAGGGTTCAGACACATAAGAAGAGGGAGCCTGTTCACACACAGCAATGTCCCAGTGTTTGAATACTAATTTTTCCTAATCTAAATCCATGAATTCTTAAGCTGTTGGAAATGCAAACTTTTTAGATGTAAGAATGAAACTGTCTGCACAAAAACCTGTTTCTGACCCAGTAGTCAATTTTACCACATGACTGTTTTCTATAGGACTACAGTTAGGAATAAATTAAAGGGAAAAAAAGACTTCAGCCCATGTTATCCACTCCTTATTTGAGATATTTGTGTCCTGCCTATTAAACAAAGTTCTTAAGGTGCCCTACAATACCTTTAAAATGCAACAAAATGGGCAAGAGAAAGTGAAAAGGTTTTCTCTAGACCTCACAGGGTTTTAGACACCACTCTGCTTCTGGGAATTCAGAAGCAGCTTATCCCTAAAGGCACAAGAACAGGAAAAAGGGGCAATGTCCTGATTAACCAGAAATACTTAAGAAGTGCCACTTAAAGGCACAGAAGCAAGGTAGTAAACGGGAAAAGAATACCACTGAAAAATGAACAACACTAGCTTCTTTTCTAAAAATATGGAATACCTCCACTTGATATTTTGCTGTTTTTGAAATCTTTCATGGGAAAACTCAACATGTGCTAACAGAAGAAATAGTCTACCAAGGCCTATTTAACATTCCTTTCAATTTAGCTCCCACTTTTTTTTTAATACCACAGTCCCCAACTCTAAAATCTAATTCACAAATCTGTGTTTCTTTTCAGCGTGCGGCTGTTTTCTGGTAGCCTGGGCCGAAAGAGTAAATAAGACACCTCATGGGGTGAGTTAGGATTGATCTATGCATGTCTTAGAATAATTTGTTCTCCCAGAGCTTTCCTATTCAGATCTTATCTGAAGGCAGAGTAAGGAAGATAAATTCTGGACCTTTAGAGCTACGTACTTGCAACCCCCACTCCACAACAAAGCGCATGGGGATCTTTGACGGCTGGCAAGATACATGCCTCCCATTTCTGATTTCATTGTATTAATAGAGATTCAAAACACAGATTATTCTTACAGGTATACCATAGTGCCCTGAGGTCTCCTGGCCTCAGGGCAGCCTGCGTACTATGGCACAGATGCCAATCAGGCTGCCGTCTTTATTCCCCCCTCCCCCCCGGCCTGGTCTAGCTGAAATCTTCAACAAGGGAAAACATCAGCAAGGGATTTAAGATTCCATGTATAGGCCTCCCAGGTGGCAGTGGATTTTAATAACTTGAAATCTGCCTGGGAGCTGCCACAGGTGGTAGGGGCAAAAATCCAGAAGGAGCTCCTTGAAAACGAGTTGCAGACCCCTTTTGCATCTTCCTATGGAGAACCTGCAAATTTCCCCCTTGGGCATCATGCCAAAGAAAGCTCTGCCTCATTGATCACCTCTTATACCCAAAAAGAGTGTCTGCCAATGATGTCATACCACCACAGCAATGCACAGTCCACTAGGATTCCTTTAACTAAATAGTGGCACTGGTGAGCAAGTCAGGCCCCCTGGGCCCTCCTGGCAAAATGTGACATACAGTCCACCTTCAGGCTACTACCATTGAGCCCCCAGAATTTCTCATTGTTTGGACTTAATTTTCAGGGGATATTTTACTTTGATAAAGCCATGCCAATGGAATATTCTGTGTCTTGTGTGGTGTTTGAGATTTGCAATACATTCCTGGAATGCACTGAATTTTGAGGCTCTTTCAGGATTTGGTGGCTGAACTCTGTATTCTTTTGGCAAATGGTTTGAGACCTTGTTACTTGTCTGAATGTCTTCTGTCTTGTTCAGCTGCCCGTCTGACCTGGTCCTCACGGACCTCATGCCTGCAGGTATCGACACCTTAGGAAGCCTAGAACATATCAACTAGAAACCAGACTTTCTCAGCATTGGTGCCCCACTTCTGGAATGTTCTCCCACAGGAATTATGGCAGGCGCACTCCCTCCGCATCTTTAAGAAGCTTCTGAAAACAGAGCTGTTTAGAGAAGCTTTGGGGACGTTTTTCCCTACTTACCTGTAATTGGGATAGTGGATGAAGAAGAAGAGGAATATCGCATTGTACATTCTGAAATTTGTATTGTGCTGCCAACTTGGTTTGTGTGCTTATTTCTTGGATAGTCTAATGTTTTAGAGTAATTTCATAATTTATGTTTATTTTCTTTGTTGTGCATGAGAGTATCAATTTGCTAGATGGGATGGTAGATAGATAGATAGATAGATAGATAGATAGATAGATAGATAGATAGATAGATAGATAGATAGATAGATAGATAGATAGATAGATAGATAGATAGATAGATAGATAGACAGACAGACAGACAGACAGACAGACAGACAGACAGACAGACAGACAGACAGACAGATATCTTATGGTACCTACATATGTGGTATCAAAGCCTCTCAGTTCACTCTGTGAACTGGTCAGATAAATTCTACTTCAGATTTCTGGATCATGAACTAATTTGTTATTTCCACTTGAAGAATATAACATGTATGCCACCAGTCACCCATAAGTAGTTCCCCATCAAGTGTCATGCTGTGCGTATTCTGTGAAGGTAACATAAAAGTGTACTTTAACTGTAATCTTTTGGTTTGCTTTTTCCCTGTTATTACTGTGTGTCCAATTTAAAGCAACGCTAATGAAGTTTTCAAAGTATATGAGATGTCCCCCTCCCCATGTCTGAGCAAAGATTTGAACCCGGGTCTCCTGAGTCCAAGTCCATTACTCTACCCATGACTGTCACCTACTTTCCACCTACCATATCATAAGAGACAACAGAAACACTAACAGCAAAATAATAATTTTAAAAATTACCTACTATGTAAAACACAGCCATTCGACAAAAAGAAGGACCGTCTTTAAAGTTGACATAGCAAAAGATGTATACAGCTCCTGTTAAAATGTTGAATAATTTCCAGTGGCAGGGATTCTGGAAAATGTCTGTCTGCTGAGCCACAGTCCAGTATGACATCACCAGCCAGTGGATACCTAGGGAGAACAGACAGTAAAAGGAACAAGACTTTTTGGGTTAAAGAGGAAAGATAAAAAAAGCCAAACCAGATAAATGATAAGCATCTGGTGGGGGAAAAAAAAGTACAGAGGCAGCTGGCAGATGAGAAAATTAGTCTATGAGCTCCTATATTTTCTATAAATGAAACTTTCTCATGCATACAATACTGCTGGAAAGGCCCAATACTGGTATTTTAAAAAAGATTGTACAGTACATTCATACATAGTGCATATTCAGCTCTCTGAAAAGCCTTCCATGTACTCTCTAAGAAAGCATTTATCCTATGGAACAATAGAAATGTTCACTGTGCTTTTCTGAAGATCATTAGATATCTACATCTCTTTCATAAAAGGTGAATCTCCTGGTAAGGCGACTATTGCTATTGGTTTGTCATCCATTTTGCTATAAGGTAAAAGTCCCCCTTGACATTCAGTCCATTTGTATCTGACTTTGGGGTGCAGTGCTCATCCCTGTTTCCAAGCCACAGAGCCAGTGTTTATCCAAAGACAGTTTCCGTGGTCACGTGGCCAGCACGACTAGACACGGAACACTGTGACCTTCCCACTGAGGTCATACCTATTTATCTACTTGCATTTTTACATGCTTTCGAACTGCTAGGTTGGCAGTAGCTGGGATAAGCGACGACGGCAGTAGCTGAACATGCCCTGAAACAAGCTGGACGTGAAATTCTATTTCAAAAGACAGAAGTACTAGACAACACCAGAAATCATTATGTTACACTGCACAGGGAAGCCACTGAAATCCACAAACACCGGCAGAGCTTCAACAAAAAAGAAGAAAAGCTAAAAGTCAACAAAGCCTGGCTCTCAGCATTGAAAAATCCACCCTGCAAAAGGTCAACAAACTCTCCCCAGCCACAAGGACTAGTGATCACTGCACACAAAAGACCAGCTAACGACCCCCATCAATCACAGTGACAGATCATCTCTCCTCTTATCACAAAAATATGACCACAACAAAAAATACACTGATCACCATAATCACCCAATCTCCTGAAAAGGACAAAAGCGGATCCCACAGCTATAAATACTCAACTATCCCAGAAAACTGCACCAGACAGAGTTCTGACTCCTGTCCTCTGGAAATGCTGGCCATAGAGACTGGCAAAATGTTAGAAAGAACAACCTTCAGAACATGGCCAAAGAGCCCGAAAAACCCACAACAACCATTCTTTTTTTTTTCAAGAGTTGACCAAGGGTGAAAAGGTCAGACCCCCAAGAGTTGACCAAGGGTGAAAAGGTCAGATTGCCCAAGGTAGAGCTGATTTCCACTTTTAAAACTTATGTAAGGAGACTGTCACTCCATTACTTTTTTTCCAAGCAATTTTTTAGTATTTAAAGGAACCCTCTCTTTTCGGTGTTTCAGTGACCTCTGATTGCCCTACAACTCTCTAAATATCTTACCACCACATATGAATGCATACAATGTTTCATTTCACAAAGCTCATGCTGGCCAGCTTATACCACACATACTCTGTGTTAGAACAAAGTGGCTGTTTTTTTTCCTTTTGAAAAGCCTTTTTTAAAGGATCAATATTTCAAACCCCTGTTTTTTTCCTTTTGAAAAGCCTTTTTTTAAAGGATCAATATTTCAAACCCCTACAGCCTGAATTCTTTACAAATTAAAATAAAGTGTGTGGGGCAACAATATATGTGATATATCTTAAATCTGGGGCCATCTATTTCTGAATGGGAGAAGAGTTTTACTTTAAAAAAAGTAAAAAAAAACCTTTTGCCACACAAATTTGGCACAGGACAAAAGCAGACTGTCTGCTAGAACTGTGCCAGACTTGGTGCTAATTCGAAGTCCAGTTTCAAAGTCGCATTTTTTTGTTCGGGCTTCCTCCATGTTTAGAAACGTTGATTTGCTCTGCTGCACAATAATGAAGATTTTTTGTTTGGGCTTCCTCCATGTTTAGAAATGTTGATTTGCTCTGCTGCACAATAATGAAGTTGCACTCTCATGTAGTTTTAATGCAACGGAACACAACAAAGAGTAATCCCAAGTACTACAGTTAAAATATTAGAACGTCTGGACATATAGCAGAAGGAAATCACAGCCATACTGCTGGACAAGTGGTACCATTGGAAAATATTTGCCCACCCATGTTTCCTTATCTATTTATCTTACCTGCAGCAGCAAAAACCCAGAGATGATAAGTCCTTGCAAAGAGGACCAAGGTCATGACCCTGGTTCCTATCATTCCAGTCCTCCATAGTAGCTGGCAGAGAAGGGCAGTTCCAGGCATAGAGAGATGGCATGGTTTTATCAGGCACATAGAACGGCTGTAGGAGACTAAAGCCCAGGAAAGAGAGAGCAGGCTCATGCCAGCACTCAGTCCTGGTGAGGGGGAAAAAAGGAAAACAATACTCAATCAGATGAGCCTCTTCTATAAAACAGAACTGGAAACATACTGTAGTGACTCCTATTTGTATACAGTATCTGTATATGCCAACATATATTCCTAGCATGCTACACTCTGGCTAAGAGCAAGTCCTGAATAAAGTGATTTTGCAAATCTATAGCATGGGTATAAGCAAAATAATAACTGGCTTTTGTACTGGTGTTGTGGATCTAACTTTAGCCTCTGCTTGTGCCTATTGAATAAGTTCTAATTTGCACAGACTGAGGATGTGGATGGGATTCTTGGAGAGATGAGAGTCAATTCTTGCCCTTCCTGGCTCATAAAAATAGCCAGGAGACACTGAACAAATGGATAAGACTGACGGATGCCTCCCTAGAACAAAGCCGAGTTTCAGCCTGCCTAAGAGACTATGATGAGAAACTTTGTTGTAAAAGCTCTCTTTGAACCCTAAGTATTAGATAAATATCAGCCAGTGTCAAACACACTGTTCTTCACTAAGGTTCCAGAGTGTGCAGTCACTTCTTAGCTACAGGAGTTCCTGGATTGGAAGAAATATCTAGATCTATTTCAATCCAGCTTTAGGCTGCATTGTGGGATAGCAGGCTTGGCTAGATAGCCAAACTGGGCAGAACTGGGTTAAATATAGGGTCACTTAAATTCAGATAAAGTCAGATAGAGTTGTGTAGTGTGATCTTTGTGTCCACATGCAAGAATTGGGTGATTTCAGACCAGAAAAAATGTTGCACCTCAAATTAGGCAGATCAAGATCTGCTTTCACTTTAAAAGGTTACACTTCCCCTAAAATCTCAGATTCACAACTTGTGTGTGGGTTCTGGATCCAACCCTCAGCCTGGGTGCCCAGATCTTGACAGTGGCCAGGAATGAATCCGGAGAGTTAAAACTAATGTGTGAGCCATAACTGTTCATTGAGAGGTCTAACCTGGCCACTGTGACATATGCCTTAGTTATAACCCATTTGGATTATTGTAGCACACTCTGCACATTCCCACTGTGGTGTTGTGGATCGAGTGATGTACTAGGAGAACCCTGGAGAACTAAAATGGAGCCTGTTAGGTTCGGAGTAAGATGAATTTAGAAGATGTTTTTCATGAGGTTGTTATTCAGCATTGTTTGCCAGAGTCCACAAGGTCGGACAGCCCAGGAGAAGGAGATGCAACAAAAAACCACTGACTGAGAGAAGATAAGACACCTGCACCCGAGATCATGAGAACTTTGGGCAGTGATCTGTGTGTTCTGAGTTACGCCTACTTGGATTTAATTTTGTGTCAACTTGAAAGTATAATGAAGAAAGCGGTCCTAGAAAAATGTAAAATGAGAGTGTGTATGTGGAGGAGGAGGAGTTCGCTGAAGGCTGAAATGCTGTACTATAAGACACAGAGGCTTGGTTTTCTTTCAGGAGAAGAAGGGGAGGAATAGCCCAGTTTCTAGATGCCAATATGCAGTGATGTAGAGCAAAGATGATTACCTAGCTGTTTTTATTTTAATTAGAAATTGTAAGTTTATTTAGCATTGTAATAGATGGATATGTTCAAATGTTTTATCCTTAAAGCCACAACTGTCTGCTAATGAATCTTTATTTTCTTAATAAAACAAATATAATTCTTCAACAGAGGATCTAATCTCTTGATACAGCAAGACTAACTAAATCCAGTGTGGATGTAAGAAGTTCAGTAGTCACTACTGTAACTTAAAAGGTCCTACTGTCCTACTTGGTAAGGCTGTTGTGCATTCTAAGGAACACAAAGACTATGTTTTATTGCTTTGGAAGCAATCAAGGGTAACTTTTAAGATTCAGGCTTGTCTGTTTGATTTTACTACACACTTCTGAGGCTTAAGGGACCTATCTCAGGAAGTAAAGGTGGTAGTTATGCATCCAGAGGGACTCTCTGACCGCGATCTTAGTCTCTTTAGGGAGACAGGATCGTTACACAACACACTCAATGCACTGTTGGAAAGTGTTTAGAAAATTCAGCTACTGCTGGATTCCTAACCAGAGTGGGTTACAGGGAGAATAGACATCCCTTGTCACAATAGCTTCAATGGCGACTGATCTGCTTTTAGGCACGACCCAGACTCCTGGTTCTGAACTATAAAGCCTTAAACAACTTGATGTCTGAAGGACTGTGTCTCCCCTCACAAGCTCCACAGTTTTTCAGATCTCCAGTGGGAGGTTTTTCTTTCAGCCCCACCCTCCTCAGAGGCAAGACAGGAGAGAGGGCTTTTCCAGTGGATGCTCTCAGATTGGGAACTCGCTACCCCAGGCTGCCTCTGACCCCCCTTCTGTAGGCAGGCAAAGATTCTAGGCAGACTTTTGGCAAGTCACTGGCCACTAAAGAAGGGGTGTCAATAGCTGAATAGTATGTTTCATCTTTTAATATGTCTGAAATAGTTTTTATTCAGTAGTTTTAATACGTAATAGGTTTCGCTACTTTTAATACTGTAATTCAGTAACAGAAAACATGTTGCATAAGTCTGCTGGGAGTGATGATGTCACCACCCACAACATCAATGTTTATTTAAATTTAATTTAAAGCTTCCTAACCACCACCACCCTTTCAGGCTCCAAGGTTCCCTAAGGATCCTTTTTGTCCAGGGAACCCTTGGGATGTGGCAGTATGGAGTCTTTAATATAGGAAAATCACTGTCTTATTCTGACAGCAGGAATAGCTGTGGTGATTTTTTTTGGGGCGGGGTATATTTGGGTATAACATCCTAAGGCTCCCAAAGGCTTCCTCAGGAAAAAAAGGACCGTAGGAAGCCTCATAACCTGAAACAGAGGGACAGGAAGTTTTAAATTTAACTATTTCTTTAATTTTATTTATTTAAAATATTTTATCCTGCTTTTCTCCTTCAAAAGGCCCCAAGTGGCTTACATCGTTAAAAAGGCTATATTCAAAAGCTAAAAACAGTAAGTATACAAATATTAAAAGGAAATTAAACAAGTATTATACTAAAAGCAATAAGTAAACTCAATACTAAGCACATTTAAAACCACAGAGCACAACAATCCATTTAAAAATCCCTCTCAGACCACCATTCATTAAGGCAAAGCCTGCCTGAAGAGAAAGGTCTTTGCCTGCCTGCGGAAGGACAGCCAAGATGGGGTCAGCCTGGCTTCCTGTGGGAGGGAGTTCCGGAGTCTGGAAGCAATGACGGAGAAGGCTTTCTCCCATATCCTCACCAAGCACACCTGTGAAGGTGGCAGGACTGAGAGAAAGGCCTCCCCTGATTATCCTAATGGCCAGGCAGGCTCATAGAGGGAGATGTGGTGTTTTCGATAGCTTAGACCCAAGCCATTTAGGGCTTTATAGGTTAAGACCAGCATTTTGAATTGTGCCCAGAGACAGATCAGCAGCCAGTGGAGGTGTCCTAACAGGGATTTATATATTCCCTATAGCCAGCCCCAGTTAACAATCTGGCTGCAGTATTTTGGACCGTCTGGCATTTCTGAACACTTTCCAAAGGCAGCCCCACGTACAGTGTTTCATAGTAATCCAGCTGAGATATAACTAGGGCATGTGTCACTGTGGCCAGATCAGACCTCTCAAGAAACGGGTGCAGCTGGCACACTTGTTCTAACTGTGCAAAGGGACTCCTGGCCACCACTAAAACCTGGGCACCCAGACTCAGGGATGAACTGAAGAACCTGCCCCACCCCTCAAGCTATGCCCCTGTGTTGCCCAGGGGAATGTTACCCCATCCAGCACAGGCTGCAGCCCTGTTCCATGATCAGCTTTTCAACTGACCAAGAGCAGCTCAGCTAGCTCAGGAAGGAAGACTGGTGATCAGAAGGGTGGGCAGTACACTAACAGAATCCCTATCCTGTCCCGGGTGCCCATTTCAAATTAAGATTAGTGTTGCCAGATGATGACATCACCATTTACACCCGGCAGAGTTCCATGATAGGATTTCAGTCATTGCAATTTTACTTGTTTCAGTTTTATATGGTTTGCACATTGCCGCAAGCCCCTTTGTCGTGAGAAAGGTACTGAAGTACATACATACATGCTGAGTTGTCATTGAAGTGGCATATTTTTATTTCAAATCACGTTGAGAATATTTTATTTACAAAAGCTACTGTATTCAATGCTATAAACCTAAAGTATGTTCAGACAGAATCCAATTTAGTTTCTGTAAAACATGTATAGGACCAAGCAGTTTAATAACATTGCAGGATGGTGGCTAGACTTAATTAGAAACAAGTTCAACTGTGTTCAGTTAAAGATCCACACTAACTAGCAAGTTCTTCTCTCTGCCTAATGTTTATATCCTGAAACATAGCACTCACCTGAGACAAGGCCATTGGCTTCCATCACCACACAGGTGTAGGCCTGCAAGAGGAGGACAGGCAGTGTCTCCAGCAGAGCTTCCAGGAGTCTCAGGACACCCAGGTCCCCTTGCTCCATGTGAGGCTGTCTTGTGCCAGAGCCTTCTCCTGCCTTGAAAGATGACCAGAGAACATTCCAGTACCTGGGATGGGGGTGGGGTGGGGATGGGGGTGAGAGAACACCAGTGACTGCAGTCTGATCAACCGGCACAAGCTCCCTGAACTAATGGCTATGAAACTCAACTGATGACACATAGTAAAGTCATAGCAATAACAAACATTGCAAGGATGTCTTGGTTACTTAACTTACTAGTTTTTGCTACATAAACAGCTCACTTTGCTACAGACATTTTTATTGCTATTCAGGAGCTCACTTTCAGTCCTGTCCCCAACTGTGACTTGAAAAACAATAAGATTTCAAAGCATCTGTGTTCTACAGTATAAAGTTCTGGCCAGAACTCCACTAAATATCAGCTCAAATTCAAACAACAGCGCTAATCTTTCCTCAGCATTATTTATGCTCACTAGAGCAGAGGTTCAGTTGCGACCCAAGATCTGTTCATTAGCATTCATTAAAAGCATTTTTACTCTTGGTGCCCCCCTAACACTGGAGGTAAAGGAAGTAACCATTAAAACGAACCTTTTACATTGGAGCACCCGGTTGTGGTATGCTGTTCTGCACAGAGGTTCGATCTGGCAGCTGTCTTGTCTTTTCAGAGTGAATTTTTAGAGAAATCTGTAAGTCTCATCAAATGTTCTTCAGATGATTTAACATCTTGATGTCTTTTTATTTATGATGCTGCTTGTGTTAACATTAGGATTTTTAAAATTCTCAAGCTGCACAGATTTGGCAGACTTACGCCCCATGATTTTTAATGTGAGATTGCAAAAATAGGATTACTGTAAAAGTATTATATAAAGCAGAAAGTCTTCCTACACTGGATATTTTTCTTCTTAATGTGTTAAATTATCTTGAAAGATACTTTGCTATTTGTTAAGGTAAATATTCATGTGGTTTACAGCTGAATTAAGCAAAATTCCATCTTACAAACATAGACAATGGCTGATATCTAGCAGTAAGTCACAACTATAGTAAGACCATAGGTGTTGGCTCATCAAATCCCTACAGATTCAGTGGGCCTACTCTAGCTGCAACTTATTGGTGGATTTCAGCCATGTTGTTTGTTTCATGTAGCTTTTAGAGGAAACTTTCATATTTTAAAAATAATTCCATGACACATTCCAAGAAGGCATAACATAATTACAAGATAGCTAAATTATTGACCATTTTCCATTTTATAAGCCATTTGGGGAGGTGGAGTGAGCATGGTGCGACCTGGAGTTGCCAAATTTGCCCATTACTATTAATGATGTTCTTGGTAGAAAGAATAATATGAATTGGCCTCTACCTGTTCTCTACAAAAATGGTTTTATAAGGAATGATGATTCCAAAATATGATTCAGTTACCTCAAACGAATGAAAACAGAACCAGGTTGAGTGGGTCTCAGCACATTGTTCTTCAGTTGATGAAAAGAAAGCATTCTAGATTTTCCCCTGGGCACCAGTAACACCCCTCCTCCCACAAGCTGGTTGCAAAAAAATAGGTGAACCACCTCCCGCTTAGCTCCTGCTGAGCATCAGAAGAGGGCCTGTATTTGCTGGTGTCCAACTTCTCAGATGGGAAGTGGTGGCGCTGTGGGCTAAAATGCGGCCCCTGTGCTACAGGGTCAGAAGACCAGCAGTCGTAAGATTGAATCCACGTGACGGAGTGAGCTCCCATCGCTTGTCCCAGCTCCTAGCAGTTTGAAAGCATGCAAATGCAAGTAGATAAATAGGGACCACCTCGATGGGAAGGTAACAGCGTTCCGTGTCTAAGTCGCACTGGCCATGTGACCACGGAAGATTGTCTTCAGACAAAACGCTGGCTCTATGGCTTGGAAACGGGGATGAGCACCGCCCCCTAGAGTCGAACACGACTGGACAAAAAAATTGTCAAGGGGAACCTTTACCTTTACCTTTTTAACTTCTCAAAACTGTTTTGAATGCACAGAAAGAAGAAGAAAAGAGGCAGAGCCAGCCCTGCAGAGACATTCTCTGGAGCTCCTTTGATTCTGCATTTTCATGATTGTTATCATATCGGCTCATTTGTCCTCTCCCAAAGCAAGGGAGAAATGATGGAAGAAAGAAGGAGCCTTAGCCTCTGTTTGCTTTGCTCTTTCTTTTCCAGCAGAAGGCAAGTGAATTGTCAGCCATTGAGAAATAAGTGAATTGGCACCAGGAAGAAGAAAGTGACCCATTCAAGGATGGGGTCCATTGAACGGATCTTGCATGTATATTTGTAGGTGTTTGTAAATTCTTTTGGTGATGTTTTGGTTTTCATCCTAATTCAGCAACTAGTCAGATTACAAAGGGAAATTTGTAGCCAAATAGCAGAAATTGGAATGTAAGAGAGGCCAGGTGAAGAATAGAAATCTAGTTCATTCCCTAATGCTGTTATTTCCTAGTTATGCTTGCCAAATCAGAATGGATTCTCTTGTAACCATACCCTTTCAAAAAAAGTGCATTTATCTCATTTTCTTGCCTATCTTACACAATATGTACTGATACTGTAATTCTGCAGTTTGACTTATTTTTAACACTGAACGTTATCAGATTCCTTCAGTATTAATTTGCCTCCAACTTTACCTCTTCCAAAGTCCGAGGTGCAGGATGTGTATTGCCACCAATGTCCAGCAAAGTTTGTGACCATCCGCCCGAAACCAGTGAAAGCTGAGGACCTGCACCAGATAGCCAGGTAGGAGCAAAGCAAGGGTTACCCAGCACCACAGAAGTTGGCCAGTGACAAAGTAATGAAGGATGCTGCAAAAGCCTGAACGAGAAAGAAAATAGTATGACAGTAACCGAACCAGCAAGTGGGAACTACAACAAATTGTTGTGGTGAATCCTGCCCCATGAAAAGAAGGAATATGTATTGATATCGTAATTCTGCAGTTTGACTTGTTATTTTTAACACTGAACTTTATCAGATTCCTTCAGCATTACTTTGCCCCCAACTTTACTTTACCTCTTCCAAAGTCCGAGGTGCAGGAGGTGTATTGCCACCAATGTCCAGCAAAGTTTGTGACCATCCGCCCGAAACCAGTGAAAGCTGAGGACCTGCACCAGATAGCCAGGTAGGAGCAAAGCAAGGGTTACCCAGCACCACAGAAGTTGGCCAGTGACAAAGTAATGAAGGATGCTGCAAAAGCCTGAACGAGAAAGAAAATAGTATGACAGTAACCGAACCAGCAAGTGGGAACTACAACAAATTGTTGTGGTGAATCCTGCCCCATGAAAAGAAGGATCATGGTTCCAACAAGCCATTCCATTGATGCACTTGTAGGTGGGGTGTTCTGGGGAGTCAAGATTTTTTTTCTCAAACATGCTTATTATTTCCACATATCCATTCGTTTTCATAGGCGTACTTCTTGCTTCTCAGTGCTCCCACTTTAGTTGTTAGAGCTCACCATTCCAGATTGCTGTTAAAAGGAGTGATATTCTACTTATCCCTGTTGGGTTCTGTTGATCTTGCACAGCATTATGAAATCTGAAGCATCTCCAATCATCTTAAAACATGCAACAGCTTCTTAAACTTAAGTTTTAAACTTCAAGTCTAAGTGTAGGATATATGTTGTGGTGAATCCTGCCCCATGAAAAGAAGGATCATGGTTCCAACAAGCCATTCCATCGATGCACTTGTAGGTGGGGTGTTCTGCCCTCTTAAGATTTTTTCTCATACATGCTTATTATTTCCACATATCCACTCGTTTTCATAGGCATACTTCTTGCTTCTCAATGGTCCCACTTTAGTTGTTAGTGCTCACCATTCCAGTCTGCTGTTAAAAGGAGTGATATTCAACTTATCCCTGTTGGGTTCTGTTGATCTTGTGCAGCATTATGAAATCTGAAGCATCTGCAATCATTTTAAAACATGCAACAGCTTCTTAAACTTAAGTTTTAAACTTCAAGTCTAAGTGTAGGATATATGGGACAATGTACTACACAGGGACAACTGTAGATTTTGTGGGACTCTGGACTTATTGAAAAAACAGGGTAAGCAGTAGCCACAAAGCCCAGAGGCAGCTGTACTGAGTGAAGAAGTCATACCCCCAACCCGTATCTGCAACATAACAATGCATCAAAACACAGTTAGGGAAACAGGGGACCTCCAGATGTTTCAGCCCACAGTTCCCTTTGCTTTTTATTATTGGCCATGCTGGTTGGGCCTAATGGAAGTTGGAAGTCAAACAGCATCTGGAAGGTCAATAAAAAGGCAACTCACTCACTGGCTAGGCACAGCAGCACAGTATGTCTCTCAGCACCAATTATCAAAGGTAACAATGGTCAAAAGGTGCCATCCAGCCATGTAGGAATGGGCTGCTTGCCCGGCTGTGACCCTGGAAGCATTTTTGGTCCTTGCCACCCTGTGCTAGGAGAAGTACAAGGCTGATTTCCTCTGCAGCCAGACACATCCTAATGTTCCCAACAGAGCACTGCTGCAAAGGACACGTACTGTTTCAGGGGCCCTGGGGAAGGGCTGAAAGAAGGGCTTTCTGACTTGCTAGGGCCACCTTGGAGAGTGACTCCTTCTCACCCGCCCCCTCCCCCCGCAAGCAAGAGGATATTTATTTTTCTAAAAGGCCCTCTTGGCCCATTTCCTGGGCAGGTGTCAGGGGGAGAGGATATTTGTTTCGGACGAAACCATGTCAGAACCCCGAAGGACGAACGCCTTGCTGAACAGCAAAAGTTGCGCCACGGCTGGAGTTGCAGCATCCTCACGTTCGGATTACAAGAGATGGGGTGGCGGACGGGGGGTGGGAAACTGCTCACGGCAGTCAGTAGGTTAAACATTTCGAAAAGCAGGCGCCACGCGCCATCTCTTCTGCCCGGCAAAAGCACGGACGGAGATCCGCCATAGCAACAGCTGCAGCCAGCGCTCCACAGGCGGCTCGTGGGGACCGGAGCGGGCGATTCCCGTCCGCAGCATCCAGACGCCGTGCAATGACTGCTGGAAGCCACTGGTAGGTCCAAGCGGAGGCCCGGCCTTGCCACCGCGTGAAAGGCACAAAAACTACAGGAGCGCCGAGCAGGGCGGCTTTCAAAGGGACTCGAGGGCGGGGGCCGACTGGCGAGGTGAAAATGCAAAGCTAACATCCGCGGTCTGGAGAACGCTCGGCAGACCCGGACGACACTCACGCGCAATTTGCTCCGCCGCCAGCAGCGTGAGCGAAAGCCCCGCGAACGCTCCGCGTCCCTGCATCTTCCTTTTGCTCTCCCAGGAAGGCGCGAGGCCCGCCGCCCTCGGGAAGAACCGGAGCTCTGCAACGCGGGGTTCGAATCCAGTCCTCGGAATTCCCGGGCTGGACCCGTTCGGCGCCGCCTCGGCCTTGCCACCGCGTGAAAGGCACAAAAGCTACAGGAGCGCCGAGCAGGGCGGCTTTCAAAGGGCAGGGGCGCCCTCCGACTCGAGGGCGGGGGCCGACTGGCCAGGTGAAAATGCAAAGCTAACATCCGCGGTCTGGAGAACGCTCGGCAGACCCGGACAACACTCACGCGCAATTTGCTCCGCCGCCAGCAGCGTGAGCGAAAGCCCCGCGAACGCTCCGCGTCCCTGCATCTTCCTTTTGCTCTCCCAGGAAGGCGCGAGGCCCGCCGCCCTCGGGAAGAACCGGAGCTCTGCAACGCGGGGTTCGAATCCAGTCCTCGGAATTCCCGGGCTGGACCCGTTCGGCGCCGCCTACTTCGGGTTCGCGCCGCCCCTTCAAGAGGCAGCCGGGGCTCTGCTTGGCGCCCTCGCACGGAGGACGGTTGCTCAGATGGCTTCCTAGGGCGGCGTTTGGGGCAACGGGGGTGCTGAGCCGCTCCTGGGTGCGATTTCCAGCGTCACGACGCCCCCCATCGAAGTGCGCTTCCCGTGGCCATCTGTTGTGGTCCGCTGGCCTTTCTCCCGCGCTGCGTCAAAGGGAAGGAGGGGGCGGACAACAAAGCCCACTCTGTCGGATCAAGAAGGGCCAACGGCTGTCTGGGCGTCCCGGCTCGTCTGTCATCACTTAAATTTAGCGTTGAAAACTGGCGCAGAGAGTGCGCAAACCTAAAATAAAGTACAAAACAGCCCCCATACCTCCCTGGTCTTTTGGATTTGGTTAACAGACGAAGGTGTTATTGAAATAGGTTTTATTTTGTAATTTCTTTTTATTTTGTTCAGAACCCAGTTTGTAGATTGTGTTTGCGTGGAATTTATTTGGCGCTCTTTTGCTTGTTCATACTTTAAAAAACGGGTGCCTGGCATCGTTTGCATTCCTCTTCCTTTTTGTTTGGGTTTATTTAGAGTACAGTACAATCTTTCCGAATAAGGGTCTTTAGTCTGTGCTCAGTGCTTGAGGAGGTCTCTGGCTGCGGAGCGAGAGGTTGGGAGTTTTGATCTCCCCGTTGTGTCTTCCGAGAGTAGAGCCAGCCTGTGTAGTCCTGAGGGCAGTCTTCCTTCCCCCAGACAAAGGAAAGGCGAAACCACCTCTGAATGCCCTCTACCTAGAAAACCCTGAAAAAGGTTGCTGTAAGTCAGAATGGACTTGATGGGACATGATTACAGTATTATTAATCTGTGCACAGGATTCTGTCACACTTCGGTATGATCAAGGATCAGTTCACGAAGGGTAAGAAAATATTACATTTGGGTAGAGAGTAATTTGGGCATAAACGTTCACTGGGAGAGGTCATTTAGGGATCTGGAGCCTGTTTTCCTCAGGATGCTGATAATATGCAACTCTTACCTTTACATCTTCTGCAATGGAGGCCCTGGAACACTCACTTCGTGTCTGTGGTTCTGGAATGGATGAAGGTCAGTAGACTGAAACTGAATCCAGAGAAAATGGAGGGGATGTTGTTGGAGGGGTTACCCTTCTAAATAAAGGATTGTGTATGCAGTTTGGATGTGCTTCTGAACACAACCCTGTCTTTGGAACATCAGATATCAGCTTTGTCCAGAACAATGTTTAACCAACTCAGACTGATCACCCAGATGCGACCTTACCTACCTGGTGGGTCTTTGATGACGTTTGTCCCTGCGCTGGTGGTTTCCAATATCAACTACTGCATTGCTCTCTATGTGGGGCTTCCCTTGAAGCTGACCCGAATGCAGTGACCAGACTGCGGTCAAGTTTGATCACGTCTTGCCAATTCAGGTTCACCTGCATTGGCTCCCTGTTGCATTCTGGGCCAGGTTAAAGGTTTTAGTGTTAGCCTAAAACAGTTTGGGGCTGTGTTGTTTGTTGGAGTGTCTTTCTCTAAAAAGATCAGCCCAGTCTCTACAGGCTTCATTTCTGTGGATTGCCACACTGAGAGAGGCAAAGAGAAGGGTCACTGGAAATTGTGGCCCTTCTGAGTCATGGCCCCTTTTCTTTGGAATAGGCTCATGATTGAAATCCATCAGTCCCCGTCTCTACCATCTTTTAAGAGCATGCTGAAGATGGTCCTCTTTCAAGAGGCATTAAGTGATGTTCTCTCCAAGGCATACAGCTGTTTTGTTTTCACTATCTTTTGAGATGGTTAATTTATGGTATTTGTCTTATTAATTGATGTTCAATATTGATGTGGGGTGGATGGGTTAATGATTTATTGTTTACTTTTTTAAACTGTTAACTGCTTACAGTAATGTTTAGCACCAACTCAGCAGTGTAGAAAAAAAAGAAAGAACATAACTGCCAGACTTTGTGTCCCTCACTGAAGTCACTAGAAAGAACAACTGGACATTATGATTTCAGTGCACAGCAACAATATAAGGATGCTGCTTCCATTCTCCACTTCTTTGTAGCAGTTTATCCAGGTAGCACAGGGACCAGGGCTGCGGAGGTCACATTACCCCCTTTCAGTAACAGATTCTAGCTACTCCGCATACCATGCACATATCTAAACATTTCTGGCTCATTTGTACCTACTTTGACTGTGTGCCCTATGAAGTATGTGAGTGGGACATGACCTCCTGCTCCCGTTAGCTTTCATGAAAACACTGAGGAGGTTGTGTGAACCCTTATGCTCCAGTACACTTTTCCAACAATTTAAGAATGTGTAGTAGCATCTTTGGTCTTCCTGCAGGTCTGGCTGTAGCCACAACTGGAAAGATAAGGAGCAGTGCTTAGGGGGCCCTGCTTCAGAAGGCAGCCTACAGCAGGTAGAATTTTTTTTTACCTGAGTTGGGATTATTAGGGCATGGGCATGCTCTGATGATATTTTGCCTATTTTGTCTCCCTTGCATTTTGCCTCCCTTCTCTTCTCTGCTATTTTTAAGGCCTCATTGGACAGACACTTTGCTTTCTTGCATTTCCTTTTCTTTGGGATGATTTTTGTTGCTGCCTCCTCTACAGTGTTACGAGCCTCCATCCATAGTTCTTCAGGCACTCTGTCCACCAAACCTAATTCCTTAAGTCTGTTCTTCACTTCCACTGTGTATTCATAAGGGATTTGGTTTATATTATACCTGATTAGCCCAGTGGTTTTTCCCACTTTCTTCAGTTTAAACTTGAGTTTTGCTATAAGAAGCTGATGATCAGAACCACAATCAGCTCCAGGTCTTGTTTTGGCTGACTGTATAGAGCTTCTCCATCTTTGGCTGCAAAGAATATAATCAGTCTGATTTTGGTGATGTCCATGTGTAGAGTCACCTCTTGTGTTGCTGGACAAGTGTGTTTGTGATGACCAGCTTGTTCTCTTGACAAAACTCTATTAGCCTTTGCCCTGCTTCATTTTGAACTCCAAGACCAAACTTACCTGTTGTTCCTTTTATCTCTTGACTCCCTACTTTAGCACTCCAGTCCCCTATAATGAGAAGAATATCTTTCTTTGGTGTCAGTTCTAGAAAGTGTTGTAAGTCTTCATAGAATTGGTCAATTTCAGTCTCTTCTGCATTGGTGGTTGATTCATAAACTTGGATTACTGTGATATTGAAAGGTCTGCCTTGAATTCGTATTGAAATCATTCTACCATTTTTGAGATTATGTCCCAGTATAGCTTTTCCCACTCGTTTGTTGATTTTCAGGGCTACGCCATTTCTCTCGGGATTCTTGCCCACAATAGTAAATATGGGAATCGTCTGAATTGAATTCGCCCATTCCTGTCCATTTTAGTTCACTGACGCCCAGGATGTCGATGTTTATTCTTGCCATTTCCTGTTTGGCCACATCCAGCTTACCAAGGTTCATAGATCTTACATTCCAGGTTCCTATGCAGTATTTTTCTTGCAGCATTGGATTTTCCTTTCACTTCCAGGCGTGTCCACAGCTGAGTGTCCTTTCGACTTTGGCCCAACCACTTCCTCAGTAGCATGTTGGACGCCTTCCGACCTGAGTGGCTCATCTTCCAGTATCATATCTTTTTGCTTTTTGTTTCTGTTCATGGGGTTTTCTTGGCAAAGATACTGGAGTGGCTTCCCAATTCCTGCTCCACGTGGCTTGTGTTTAGTCAGAATTCTCCACTATGACCTGCCCATCTTGGGTGTCCCTGCACTGCATAACCCCTAGCTTCTCAGAATTACTCAAGCCCCTTTGCCATGACAAGGCAGCAATCCATGAAACACTATGAGGTGGTATATAAGCAGCACACTTTTTTTTTACTAAATTGTATGAAAGCAGCTACAGCTGTGTCAGCTCAATGTGTGAACAGCTGTGGCTGTGGGGTCACCTCTGGCACCTCTGGCAGGCCATCAACCCTCGCCCCATGCCTCATGGAGTACAAAATGATGCAATAAGACCAGGAACCACATGAAAGGATCTGTCATAAGTACACTTGTATCTGCTATCTTAAGTTCAGAGAGGAATGATTTTTAAATATTTTTAAGTGTATATTTAAGATTACAGGCATCATAACTGTATTGTTACAGAAATTTGCCTCCAGACAGAATTTCATAATAATTCTTCTGGGTTTTGACAGGATGGTTTTGTCAGTTTTTGAGAACTCCTGAAAAGTATTGGACAAATATATAACAGTATGCATTCATAATTATGACTAGTGTTTATTGTGACAACATGAAGTGTTAGATTTGTTCTCTCCCTTGACCACTGAAATACAGAATCATAAGCATTGCTTTTGATTGCTTATCTTCCTTTCTTCACCACCTATTATTAGCAGGGGTTTTACAGTTTGAGTTTCCGAATATCTTCCGCATCATCAACACAACAGTTTCCCATTCCGTTGTTGCACCTACCGACGTAGACTTCCACAGGATGGCAGAGTGTGTGACGGCAAACTCCTTTTAGTCTCCTACATCGTCCTGTACCTTCAAAGGAATCAGGAGAGTTTGTAAGCCTTATGAATACAGTATTTTTGGTCATTCATATGTGGAAAACATTCTATGAAGCCTGAGAAAAAGTAATGTATACTGACAGAAAGGGGTAATATGAGATTATGCCTCAGCTCATTATGTGCTTCAAGAAATGCTCCAATACAGTGCGTCCAAACCTCCGGTGACTTAGGTGTTCTTGGATTGCAACTCCCAGAAAACCTGGCCAACACAATTGGTGGTAAAGGCTTCTGGGAGTTGCAGTCCAGGAACACATGAGTTACTCAAGGTTGGGAACCACGACTCTAATAGAAGAGAGAAAGGCCTTTAGGAGAAACTCTTGGCAGGCCAGAAAGCAAACACACACCAGCCATATGGGCCATGAGTAAGATATCTAGTAATGCAGTGTATCTTTGTTGGACTATGGATGTGTTTGTGAGGCCAAGCGAGCTCAGCCTCTTCAGAACATGTGAGAATGGGGAGGTCTGTATCCATGCTGCTCCGTTCTACCAACATGAGAAAATTAATCAACAAGTTCATATCAGCCATTGCCATGAGTATCTCATAATAATTTCTCTGGCATGCCCATATAAGCTGGAATCCTACTGGTATTCACATATTGCAAGGTCTGGGTAACTTTCTTTGGCTAATTATAGGTAACTGAAGAAGTGCTGGGGTGAATCTCAGTTTTTGCTATCAGGCACATGACTATCAGGTGTGCAACTGAGATACACCCTGGTCATTCATCAGTTAGTCAAAATATACGTAGAAATCTATCTGATTGTTTTTGGTATGAACTTTAAAATATTGCAGATGGATTGAGAATGTGAATGAAATATGTCTTGAGAAACTAGAAAAACTCAAAATAGACAGATTTGACTATTCCTACATAATACAGCTTCAGACTCTGCAGATTTCCAACTTGAAAAATACAAAAAAAGAGAGAATTCTCCATATATGTCACATAGGTGTTAAGACTGGAAATGATTTCCTTGTCAGTGTATGCACTGTGAACTGGCGGATGCCTTACCACTATGTAAACTTTCTACATAGTAAGTTCTTCTTCATGGCCTCTATGAATGCACACAAATGGGTTTAGACTGCCCCTGTGCAGGACTCCTCGGAATATTCTAGAGCTTAAAAACATGTGATTAGTAGGACGTTTCCCCATGGCGTGCATGCTCCGCTCGCCTGTAATACCTCAGTTCCTTTTTGCCACTGCTGCAATCAGACTCTTCCGTGTCTAGAGCTGTTTTTTCTGTTATTCTGGTTTTTTATTCTGGTCTGGTTTATCGAATATCATTTCTAATCTCTGGATAATTTTGACTTTGGACTGACTACGGTATATGGTTATCAGATTTTGGGTTGGCTACTGTTTGTTGTTTCTGGGCTATTTTGACCTTCAGACTGCTTACCGGTTGTGGGTTTTGGATTACGGACTTTATTGTGAACAACTTGGATTCTGATCTTTCAGCTTTTGATCTTGGACAGATTGTTGACATTTTCCCATGAGTCTTCTTTCCCGTTTCCCCCCTACCTTCCTTCTCCTGTTTTTGCCAATTTTTATGGCCTTGTTAGGACCCTCTAAGCGTGTACGTTGTGTGCCAACAATATCCCCTTCACAGACGGCCATGACCACTGTTTATTTTGTTTAGGATAGAGGCACCAGACTCACTCCTGTCAGGAGTGTAAAAAGTTGCAGTTTAATACTGAGAACTGCCCTAATAGTTCCATTAAAAATACCTTATTTAATTTTGAGATTTTGTACATAAAAATTACAGGAAAAAGCTAAATAGGAATAAAAAGTTTTAAAATGTGATTAAAATATATAAAAGACTAACTTTTATATCTATATATTAATGCAAGCTTTTGTGGACAAATCCACTTCATCAGACATAAGAAAAAGATATTCAACATGGCAAATATTTATGCATGGCATTAAAGTATAGATATCAAATACAGATATCATGGTTGGTTGGTAAGGTCAGTGGGTGTATAACACTGTGGTGATAGTATCTTTGATATGCAGGTCTTTCATTGAAGCTTTTTGCTGTAAAGAAAGTGAGAACCTGAATTGCTTGATAGCTTGGTGGTTTAGAAGACAGAAGTTGGGGATTCAATTCCCCACTGTTCTTCCATGATCCAGAGGGTCCCTTCCAGCTATGCAGTTCACAGGCTATTATAAAATAACCATGGTAGAGTAACATGAATGTTAATTAGATTGGCTATTTACAGTCCTTGATGAACTTCCCCCCCAAGCATTCCTTTGTAATCAGTTGCAATAGTGTGTGAATGACCCCAAGCAGTGGTTGGCCACAAAAGCAGAGTCAAGAATCTGCAGAGAATTAGTTAAGAATCAGCAGAAGTAATGTGGAAGAAGGAAACAGCCTTTTCTGCGAGGCAGAGGTAACTGTAAATCAGGTGAGCAGCCTTTTAAGGACTGAGAACCATTTTTGCTATCTTTAGCAGCCTGTAGGGCCATATCCCCCAACAAATCTGCCTGCTGATGCCCCTGCCAGTTTCTTGCCCTGAAACAGCAAACTGTCATTCCAGTTTCTAAAAAAGGCTTCACCAAGGGTTGAGGGATCAAATGCCCCACAGCTTTGCCCATGTCTGTGGTAAATGTTCCCCACCCTTTTGATATTCTTACCTGATTTGTCCAGGTAAGCATGGTGGAACAGGAAAAAGACAAGCAGACAAATATAAAGGAACCTCATGTTGGTTGAGTACAGCTGGGTCGAAATTGCACTAAGGGAAAAGCTGTAAAGATACAATGAAACAGTGAGTTTTAATATTATGTTATTAATTGTGCAAACATCAATTGTGCAGTTCATCAATCTTCAGACAGGATGTGCGTGGGCAGCTCTTTAGTTCTTCTTTCAGAGGGATGTGTTAAATTTTATGCTCCTCTATTGACAGGAGCAACATAATATGTCAGCTGATAATTGCTGTCTCAACATTGTTGGCCTAATTTTGTGTAGACATGTATGGGAGTATACGGCCATCCACAGCAAAACTGTAATTCTGATTCTTATTCTCTATAAACACAGTGCAGAAATCACACTATACTTACTTCAGGACTAAATAAAGACTTCTGGATTAAAGCCCAGCTATTGGCTAGCCCTCAGACACTGAGAGAAGCAGTGTTGCACAATAAAGAAGTAACCCAATCCAGCCCTGTCTTTAGCCAGAGTGAGGCAGCTGCCAAGGTACCAGGTGCTGGAGGTCGCATTAGAGATGTGCTCGGCCCCGTTGTCATCACTGTCACGCCAGTTGTGGAAGCAGCCTGACCAGCCCTTACCCTCCTCATTGTGCAGCCAACAATTTATTGGCTAAGTAGAGAGACTCCGCATCCTGCTTCCGTGCCACAGTGGTAGCTGCAAGAGGAAGTGGGGAAGGGCTGGCTGGGTTACTTCTGCGACTGGCAAAACAACAGCAATGATGACAGAGCTGAGGGCTGCACGGAATCCAGTAAGTAGCCTGGCTGGTTCTGGGGGGCAGGATGGGGCCAGGGAAATGAATACAAACTGTTCATCTCTAGATGGCAGCAGTCTCCCCAGCTGTCTCTAGCCCCCTCAAATCGTACCTGTGTGGTACTCTGACTGACTTAGGGTGGCTTCCCCCCAACACCCGTATCACCAGCAGTGCCAGAAGGAAAGTACCCTGCTCAGACAAGGAAGCAGAGAGACGGACAATCAAAGGAACTCGCTTTGACACATCTTGTGTACATATGCATTGCTCATGCGGCATGCTACATTGCACCGTTTGAACAAGTGTGCAACAACCAGAGTAATGAATGAATAATAGGGAGTGTTGTAGGACAGAGCAAGGGGCAGGCTGGGAGGGCAGAGAGAGCAGCCCCACCGAAAAGATGTTTGGCAGAGAGAGCAAACCAGGCTGCCGGAACAGCTTGCTCTTTGGGCCCAAAGAAGGAACAAATAAAATGGGTAAATACTCATTGCTTTGGGGCCTCCGAATTGATGAATACAAAGTGATAAATACTACACAAATCAGCAATTTCTGATAAATGTAGTAATTCTTTTTAAAAAATTCATCCCCATGTTTAATGGTGACCAATTTGGTTTCGGGCCATATAGGAAAATCTTTTCTCCTTCCCACTTCCTGTAGACCTCCTGATACAAATCAGAGTAGCTGTAATTTATATTTTAAAATGGAAAATACAAAATTCAGTTATTCAGAAGTATACAATATCTAATTCTTCTTCGTGATCTGGCACTGGAAGAGAAACTCAGGAGTCTCGTTGACTGTTAATGCGAGTCAATGGAGAAAAGTCCCAAGTTGAATCTAAGTTGAGTTGCTGTTGCAACTTAAGTGCAACTTGACAGTGAGTCTCAAGTTTCGAGTCCCCATCCCTGCCTTATCCTGTTCCTGGAATTTCCAGCCTTAAGCATGGCAGGATTTAAAAGGGGGAGAGGAAAATAGCAGTATACTTGTCAATTAGGAAATATATTTTGATCATAGCAGATTTCTGCCTTTGAGTGCCAATTTTAATGCTATATATAAACATTATTAGCAACAACATGCCATCAGAACAATTCCAACTTACAGTAACCCTTTAAAGAGTTCTTTAAAAGGTACAAAGTAGTTTAGCATTTCCTTCTGGGTGTTCTCTGGGACTGTGCAGGAAGCATAGTAGCGAATCAAACTCCCAACCATACATAACTCATGGTTCTCTGAGAATGTGCAGGAAGCATAGTAGGGAATCAAACTCCCAACCATACATAACTCATTGAGCTATCCTACCAGTGTTTAGCCGCATTTTTAAAATTTGTTTGTATATTTATCTATGCCTTAATATTGCCTGTTAATGATGTAAGATACATCTTTATTCATTATTTGTCATTTTAAATATTATCTTTTAATGATGTTAACCATCATTGTATACTCATTGTTTTCAACTTTAAATATTGTATTTCATTGTTGTAAGCTGCCTTAGGTCCTTTCAAGGAGAAAGGTGGGGGAAAAATATTTTAAATAAACAAACAAATTTAAATCAGTGTTATATGGCTCTTGTGACATGGTGGAGCCACTTATCTGTTGAATGCCCAAACATTATGAATTGTATTGAATGTGGACATTAGCCACATAATACTTGCTTTGAACTAATAAGCACAAATAACTCAGCGTGGGAAGTAGTTTCTACAGGGAACACTTTTTAAAGAAACTTTGCTGTGAAGGCTGCTGTATGTAAATCTGCTAAAAGAATCACAAAAAACAATTGCATTTAGATTGCCTCAAAATCCCAATTCAATTATGTTAAACAAAATTGTTTCATTGCAGGCTGAAAGAAAAGGCAATGTACTAGACTGAATATATTAGACTTGGCCGCTAATGTTAAGAAAATAAAAAGACAGGACTCTGAGAGATGTTTAGTACAAACTTCCTCATAAATAATAACAAGAAGTGCAGTATAAAGCAGTAGCATAATTAGAAGGAGGAAAACAAGGAGTAATTACTCTGGAAAAGTGATTAACAGTAGTCTTCTGTGGGTCTTATCCGGCAGAAACCAATTGCCCTCATAAGATACAATTTCTGGAGGCTCGTCCTCCTCTCTGCAAATATTTGGCCAATGTGCAGTGCTATCTTACCCATGTCTACTCAAGAGTAAACTCCAAGTAAGTATGCATAAGACATCAAAAATTCCTAAACCAGTTAAAATCAATGGTTGATTTGCTATTAGGTTGTAGTTTATTACCTGTGAATTCACATTTTCTTTTCGCCTGTTGACTCTTTGTGATGAGTCTATAAGACACTAAGTCCAAACAATTTGAAACGGGAGTCTTTGCGGACGTTGCCTGGCTGATACTTCTGTGAAAATATTCCTTCCCTTCAAGTACGGCCACCAGCTTCTGTCCAGCCTCAAAAGGAGACAGAGCAGAATGTTCAGTTCAGCATCCCTATGACATCATTGTTTGTGACATTCTAGCAGGAAAGGTTTTCCTCAGATCTCTCCCTACCAGCCACTGTCACCATTCTCTCTCCCTGTTCACATTCAAAATATAAAGGAGATGGGTGAAATAAGAGGCTTCTTGGTCTGGTGTTTTGATCAAAAGAATTAGTTGTGGCCCATAATGAGATTCTCCTTCAGTTCTGTTTAGTTTTGGTCAAGAGGCTGAAGCAGTCACTCATTTGCAGGAAAGCCCTTGGCGGTGCCATCTTTTGAGGTGAAGGAGGTTCCTATAAGAAATAGGGCCCTGTCAGTACTAGTGCTAATCTTGTAAAACTCTTCATTGTGGGAAGAATCTCAAATACTTAATCTCCTAATACAGATGCCAGGAGCAGTGGTGGCCATAACACTGTTGAAGAGAGAAAAGATGCTAAGATGATTTTAAATATGTGACTTAATCTGAACTGGCCAATAAAGGGTTTGGATGGCAAAACTTTCAAATCTGTTGTGCCATGTTCTTTGCTTCTTGGCTGTTGAACTTTTCAGTTAGCTAGGCTAGTGGGCTAATGCTTTGTTCTCGGCCTTTGGCTTGTGTGCCTAGTAGCTGGATGGTCGAAGTAGCTGGGTGGTTAGTAGAAAAGTACAGCCGAGTAAGAAACTGAGGCAGGATACAATGCATTGTCTAGCTTCCTTATTTACCCACATAAGGAGGGTGCCTCTTCCTTTGGCTGGGAATTTCAGTGGTCTTTAAATGTCTGTCCTCTTACATGTGCTCACAAGATCTAGCAATCCATGAGCTTCTTATCCCTGGCAGAAGAGAGGGATAATTGGTAGAAGAGCCAAAATACCATAACTGATCCCAGGGACAGTTGGAGCCAGTACAGTACTGTTGATGGGAGCTACATGCCCCAAATAAATGCGAGTGTATCTGGCAGTACAAGGTCGAACAGTATCACTCTTGGCAAGAGGGGTGACAGGCTCTGCTAGCTAAGGCTTCCTTTAAAACTAGAGCTTAAAAGGAAAGAGGCTGTAACCTGCCCTTTCCAATCTTAAAAGTTCTTCTGAAAGTGTTTTTCTCTGTATAAACCTCCTTTTTGTTTACCAAGGTTATAAAGGTTAATTAGTAGACACGTCTTTTAAAGAGTACATCTAGGTTTGATTTTTTAAAAGGCTTAAGGCCAAAAGAGAGTTTATTTACCTGTAACTCTGGTTATTTGAGTGGTCATCTGTGAATTCACACTAATGGGTTAAGTCTGTGCATGTGCAGACGTCTCAGAATATTCTAGAGCTGAAAAGATCTCTAGGACCACCGCCCCCTGCAGCTCACGTGGTCCGCCTGTCCTAGCGATTACCTCGGTTCCCCAATGCCAGTGCTTCTCAAAGAAAGAGGCAGACATGACGGACAGAGGGGAGGATGGGTGGGAAGTGTGAATTCACAGATGACCACTCGAAGAATCAGAGTTACGGGTAAGTAACCTCTCTTCTTCATGGTCTCTATGAATGCACACTAATGGGTGACTAACAAGCTTACCTTACAGGTGGAGGGACGTCACGGCAAGGCTGAAGAAAGAACCGCACATCCCAAACTCTCATCCGCCTTGGCCCACATGTCTAGGTGATAGTGGGGTGCAATGGTAGATGGCGTCGACCAGGTAGCAGCCCTGCAGATATCCTGGACTGGAACACCTCTAAGAAAGGCTATAGAAATTGACAAGGCCCTAGTTGAATGAGCCTTAATAGAAGAGGCTTCCTGGCAAGCTGGTAAGTCAAACAAATAGTCTGCACAATCCATCTAGATTTGGTTTGCGGAGAAACCTGCTCTCCTCTATGAGGATGGTGAGGGGAGATGAAC